GCTTTACTTCTTCCAACATATATTTGTTTGTTCTTCTGGCAGTCCATGTACTTTCAATATTCTTTGCCAATACCATAATCTAAATGGATTGACTCTTCTACAGTCTTCTTTAGTCATTGTCCAAATTTCACATGCATATGAGGCAACTGAAAATACCATGGCTTGGGGTAGGAGCACCTTTGTCCAAAAAGTGAGATCCTTGCTCTTTAACACATTAGTGATGTCTTTTCCAGCACATGTGCCCAATGCAATATGTCATTTGATTTCTTAACCAAAGGTGGTGGTTGTTGTTTTTAGGTGCCATCGAGTTGGTACTGACCCATAGCGACCTTATGCACAGCAGAACGAAACACTGCCCGATCCTGGGCCAACCTCAATACTGTTGCCACACTTGAGTCCATCAATGCTGCCACTTGGCCAATCCATCTCGTTGGGGGTCTGCCTCTTTTTCTCTGACCCTCCACCTTACCAAACATGAAATCCTTCTCCAGCGACTGGTCCCTCCTGATAATATGTCCAAAGTATGAGAGATGAAGTTTGGCCAGCTTGGCCTCCAAGGAGCATTCTGACTGCACTTCTTCCAAAACGGATCTATTGGTTCTTTTGGCAGCCCATGGCACTTGTAGTATTCTCCTCCAACACCACAACTCAAAGGTATCAATTCTTCTACAGTCTTCCTTATTCACTGTCTAGCTTTTGCATACTTTTATTTAGTCTATTTTGCATTTTCAGGTAAATTGGTCTGTGTTTATTTTTGTCTCTCCAAATACAGAGTGAACTTTCAGTCAATAAAAAGTTCATTTTAAAAATCTGTGCACATCCTCCATGCTACAACTTTAAAAATAGCATTATATACTTGGAAAAGTGATTTGTGAATATATACATTCGAGGGTGTTTAGAAGTTAGAGGAAAATTCCATTTTATAAAAACTTTTTGAAGGCCCCTCGTATTTCTTTACTTATATCTTGGCTCCAAACCCCTTCTACCAACAGCCAGATTACATAATAAGTTAAGTTTTTTAGATTCACTCATTTCAAGTGGTTACTGTTTTAAAAAAATGGAAGCACATAATATTGTGATGAATGTCCCAAATAATTTTATTTGTATTCTAAGGCATGCTTCTATTTATGGAATTAAAACTGTAACAATCTAGTGATTTTAACTGTTACATAAAATGTTAATTCCAGTGATATCTTCATTATTTACAACACTAAGCTAAAAGAAAAAAATACCTCTTTAAAATGGAGTAACAAATACTAGTCTTGGATGACAAAGTGTTTTTAGTGTTTAATGAGATGGACTGACAGTGTCTGCAACAATGGATTCAAACAGCAATTTTTGTGAAGCTGGTGCAGGACTGGGCAGTGTTTTATTATTATCACACATGGAGTCAGAGTCAACTCAATGGCACCTAACAACATAGAGGTATTTACTGTAAGCTTTGGAGTTATTCCCACATCGGGTTATTAGACAACTATGTAGCTAGCCCATGGATATTCTGAATTTACCCACATCCAAAAGTTACCCCTCCTGAAAGTTGTATCTGATGGATGCAGGACTACATAAAACAAACCAAGGTTTTCACCTGAAGTTTTTAAGGGAGGTCTTCTGAGGCATCTCTCTATACATGGAAGTGCTCTGCAAACATGGGCTACACCTGAGGACATAATGAATTTGTCCTTCCATCCAGCAGAAATGGCTGATGTAGCTGGTGAGCAGCATCAGGCAGAACTGTTAGTCAGGAAGTAGGGTTTTTGCCAGCAATGTGATTACGCAAGCAGCACTAATCCTCTAAGCTGTGCCAATGGATATAGAAACCGAGCACAAGAATACATGACGTGTACATCTTGTAGGAAAAATGTGTTCAATAGAAACAGCAAGTAGACTATGCAAGATGACAAACAAAACATTTGTACCCCTTGATTAAGACTAAAGGCCTGAAGCTGCCATTATCATTGACTGAAAACAGAGATGGCCAGCCTCTGGAACCTCCCTTTTGCTGACCTCATTTTAGCCACATTGACTGAACATATAGTATGTACTGTGTTAAGCTCCTTACAGGGGTCCTTTCATTTAATTTTCAGTGTTGTAAAGTGCTGTCAAGTAGGTTCTGATTTATAAGGACACTATATAGGATTTCTGAGGAGCTACGGGTGGGTTTGTAGTGCCAACCTAGTGGTTAGCAGTCCCGTGCTCATCCTATAGTGACACAGCCTCCAAGGTACTATATTGTTGTTTTTGTTAAGTGCTGTCCAGTCAGTTCCACTCATAGCAACCATGGAAAGGGTTTCTGATGACCTTATGGTTAGCAGTTCAGTGCTTATCAAAAACCATACCAGGACCCTGGCACTACAAATGTCTGTCTTTTACAAATCAGACATCCTATCTGGTGACTAAGGAGCCTTGGTGGCAATGTAGGATACTCACTGGACTGCTAACCACAAGGTTGGTAGTTAAAATCCACCAGCCGCTCTGCAGGAAAAATATAAGGCTTTCTACACCCCTAGATGTACAACATCAGAAACCCTATATAGGGTCGCTTAAGAGTTGAATCAACTAGATAGCAGTGGGGTTGGGTCTTGGTCTGAGAACTGGTGTGACATTACCATCTAGTGGTCATTTTCACTGCAAGGCAATATCCCTTTTCGGAGGGATGATGCTGGAGATCAGGTGTCCAAGGATTTAAGCACCCATCTGAAAATCCCACTGGATTATAAAGTCCTTAAGGGAGTGGTTAAAGCACTCAAGTGCTAAGCACAAGTTTGGTGGTTCAAATCCACCAGAGAAAGATGTCTGTTTCTGTGATGATTAGTCTTAGAAACTACAGATCAGTTCTACTCTGCCCTACACATTGACTTGACAGCAGAGAGTGTCTTATGTATTATTTTTCTTTCCTGCACTATTTGTTAATGTTGAAATGAAAACAATCAGTTCTGATCCAGTTAAAACCATTTCCCTCATCATCCCCCCTGTCTTCCTTAACCCTTAGCTCTTCTAGTTCTCAGACCTGTGTAAAAGCTGGCAACTGTAAATACTGTGATGGAACTTTTCCCATGCCCACATTACAAATGCAAGTGGTAGAAAATAAACTAGATAAAATTATGCATCAATGACTCATTAGTTTTTTTTTTTGCCCTTTTGGATAATCTTTTAAAAAAGTTTTTGTGCAGATAGTTTACATGGGAGAATATCGGTTTTACACCATCATTTCACTGTAATTATTACAATCATCTCCATACATCATCATTCAACAGTATTTGCTGCCATTCCCTGTTTTTTTTTTGGAGGTGGGGTGGGGTGAGGGGGTTTTCATTATATGAAACACTCAGGTATATATAATTTAAACAACCAAAGGGCACATTCTGCAAGCCTGCCAGCACCCAGTCCTTCTTTCCATGAGTCCTCAGCTGTTCCCTCTCTCCATGTTCCCACCTCTGCCTCCATCTCTGGTGTTGCTGCTTCTCTGGATAGGGTCCCGCAGTGTTTGTGCTCTTCTCTCTTGATAGTTCTAGGGTTCTGTTTCTGGACTGTAACATTAACTAATCCCTCATTTTTGTTACAAAACTTCTACCTTTACAATTGTGACAGTTGCAATTAGTCATGATAACAATTTCTCACTATTGAAGAGTCTTATCCCCATCTCATTTCACCAGACCCGTCTAGATTAGATGAAAACTATTCAGTGGGGATTCTATCTCCCCGCGCATACTCTTTGACTCATTAGTTTTTAGTGGAACTAATTTATTGAAGAGATTGTGTTCATTTACACTTTGGATTTTAGCCAGTGTGTACATTTTTATGTTGGGAAGCCATCTAGTGTAGACCCTGGCCCTGCCACTCAGTGTGTCATCTCAAGCAAGTTACTGAGCTCCTCTGTGCTTTAATTTTCTTACATACAGAAAAGGGATTATTACACCCTGGGTAGGAGTCTATGATTTACAGTAGCAGTTGCACACAAAGGCTTGCAATAGGTCCTGTTCATGTAAATTTTGCTTACTGGATTTTATTTTTTTTTGGGGGGGGCGTTATTTCATTTTTTTTTGCACAATTACTGACATATTTTTCACTACTATGAGTGGGAAGGCGAGCGTCAGGCAGTAAATTCTCCAAGAGATTAAACACAACCAAGTTGTCAGTAGAATTTCAGAAAAATACACATGATTATTACTTCAATGTCTAGACATTATTGAATGGTTACAATAGTCTAGAAATTTTCAAAATGCCTCATGTGCATTATCTCATTTAATCCTCAAAACGATCTTACAAAGTAGTTATAGAAAAACTGAGGCAGAAAAGACAATGAAGGGAAAAGCAATGTCTTATCTAAGGATGTTTCCACTATTAAGTAGTAAAGCTGAGATTTAAACATTCAAGCAGTTCCCAGATTATGAATGAGATGGGTTCTTTAGTTGGATTTGTAGGTGGAGGCAGAACAGGTGCCCAAGGTTCCTATTTAGCTTTACTTTGGTGCAGGAACAGACTTTTAATTAAAAGCTGCATGCACAGCAGGGGAAGGTGACTATGGTTACAGATGTTTTGAGCAAGGGTTGGTTCAATTGGTTCAAAGTGAGGGCACCCATTAAAAGAGCAAGTTATGAGTTCACCTTAAAATTGGATGTTCAATAACCTGGGAATTTACTGTACACCCCCCGCCCCAAATAAAACAAAAATGGTGGTGTTTAGATTTAAAAAACAAAACACCAAAATCCTCAAATATCCTCCCAATGTAATTAACACTGTTTTGAAAAATGATTTTTAGCAGATTTACCATCATCAAATGACTTTGAAAAACTGGGTTGCTTTGACAGGATTACTTTAATTATTCTATGAAGACACATGAATGAGTCAAATTTATAGGAAGAAAAAAAGGGCTATTTATTTATATGCCGTATTGTTGCTAAGTGCCGTTGAGTAGATTCCAATCCATAGCGACCCCTGTGTAGGGTTTCCAAAATTTAGCCCCTCAAAAGTTCAAGGTGAAAAATGGTGTAACATTTTTCAAATACATGAGAAATATCTAAGATCTTAAATTTATTAGTTTTCCCAAAAACTAGCGGCTTCCAAGCTGGACTTGATATTTTGCATGTTTTCCCTCCGTTGCTTAGTAAATACATTTGCTTCTCCTTTCTGCAATCGACGTCTGACAGTTGCTTTTTGCTGTTTTGTCAACTGACGTTTCACTTTTTGTTTCACCAATTCCTGAAAAGAAAATGTCTAAAATTAGCATCACTAATAACAGATCATATTTCCATGAGTTGCGTGACCTGTCAGTAAAACGCTTCAGTGTTATCTTCCAAAGTTTATGCTAGCAGCAATTAAAAAAAAAAAAAAATTCCAATCACTGATAGCACTATATGTGCCAGCCATAAAACTCCATGTAAAATAGGAGAAACGAAATTCCCAACAGAAATACAGATTATATAACAAAGAGTAGCATATAGGCATAATTCTTTAAATATCAAATTACTACAGTGCCACCTAGTGTCCATTATGAAAAATAAAAATAAACATTTGTTTTCTAAGTAAAAATTGCATGCTTTTATAGTGGAAAATTAATGTTGAAAATATTTCCTATTGATCAAAATATATACGAGAGTATCCTCATAACATAACCTAATGCAGCAGTTACCCACAGAGAAGTCTTCATGGAGTTTTGGGGAGATGTACAATGCTTTCTCATAGTGAAAGGCCATTCATCTAAAGTTCTTATTTGTTGAAAAACCAGATGCACATATCACAGGACTTAAGATTTATAAATTTTATTTTTTTAATTAAAAATGTACTCATCAAAACATACACCAATCCAACAACTGCAAATATAGAACTGATATTGATTACATTCTTCAAGTTGTGCAACTGTTGTCACCTTCGTTTCTGATTAACACTTTTAACATAAATAACAGTTTCTTCACTATTAACATGAACTCATGACAACTAAGTTTCTTCACTAACCTTTTGAGTTGCTCTTGCCAATTTGGTTCCATATATAGTTTAGAAATGCACACTACTCAAGGCAGACATTCTTTATTAAACTATTTGAGTTTGGAGTCACTGCAGGTTAATGCACTGGATTGCAAGGTCAGTTTGAACCACAAGGTTGAAAGCTTACCAGCTGATCCTCGGAAACACCATACAGGATCGCTATGAGTCAGAACTGACTCAAAAAGCACTTAACAACAACTTGAGTGAAAGACTTCCGGGGATATTTCTGGTTTAAATTTTAAATAGCAATAATTTTAGGGGTTCAATAAGACTTAATGGTTTTTGAGATTGGATTCCATGAAAATGTAAAGTTCTGGTATATAATTTACCCCCTTTTGCTCAGAATTCTGTTTTGAAATCTTTGATTAAAATGTTCAGTAATGGTGGCAGCAAGGCACCATTCAGGCCTGGTCTTGTGGCATGGGATTGCTCAGGAAGACAATCAACACCCCCTTTGTCATGATCTCAATGAGTAGGAATGACAGACGGCAGTGAGTTTATTTGGGTTTTACTCCTGACTCGGCTTCTGTTCCAGGCAAACAGGTATCAACTGTGGTGTGGATTGGCACTTACAATCTTTTAAGAGCCCAGACACTAGAGAATAGAACCACAAGATCTGCAGTTCAAACCTACCAGCTGCTCTTTAGAAACCCTATATAGGGTCGCCCTGAGTCTGAACCACTCAATGACACTTAACAACCCAGTTTAGTGGCATCAATTACTTTAATTGGCTGTGCAACAATTACTTTTAAAAAATGATAATTTACCATCACTTTAGACAGAAAATCAGTCCTGGTGTAGGACTGTAAGATAAGCAGTGGACTACTAGCCCCAAGGTTGGTGGTTCAAATCATCCACCAGTTGCTTAGGAAACCCTATATAGGGTTGCTATAAGACAGAACCAACTTGAGGATACTAAACAACATAAGTAATGCCCCCCACCTTCTCTCCCACCTGGTTGTGATTATTAGGTGCCATTGAGTTGGTTCTAACTCAAAGCAATCCTATGCACAAAAAAATGGAACAATTTTCCATTTATTTAAGTCCTCTTTAATCCCTTTGAGCAATGTTTTACAATTTCAGTAGAAAAGCTTTATTTCTTCAGCAAATATAATTAATGTTCGCTGTTGGGTTTTTCATTGATGTCCTTCATTATACTGAGATACATTCCTTCTATCCAGTTGTAATGTTTCCACTTTATGAGGGGCTTCAAAAGTTCATGGAAAAAATCCTTATCTTTTAATTCCATTTTTCCATGAACGACTTATTCATTGCAAATGCCTTTTTAAAACAACATAAAAGACGACTATATTCTTGGATCTAACCAGGTGGAATACATAGAAATCAAACTGACTACATTTGTGGGAAGAGAGGTAGAAGAGTCACTAGTCAGAACAAGGCCAGGGGTAGACTGTGGAACAGACCATCAATTACTCAAATGAAAGTTCAGGCTGCAGGTAAAGAATATTAAAACAAGTCCATGAGAGCCAAAATAGGAAGTTTTGACTACATCTCATCTGTATGATGTAGCAAAATTTCTGTATTTACTCTCGGGTATTTTTGTTAAATATTCTTGAGGAATTGACCCTTTTATTCACTATATATAATGCCCATCGTTATCTCGTCTAACAGGTTTTGCCTTAAAGTCGATTTTTTCTGATATCAATAATGTCATTCCAGCTCTTTTTTGGTTATTATTCACACACATTCTTTCACTTTTAACTTACTTCTGCCCTTGGGTACGTCTCTTGCAAACAACATCAAGTTGGGTCATGTCTTTTTTTAGAATCCATTCTGCCACTTTCTGTCTTTTGATTTGGACTCATTCAGTCCATTTACATACATTGTAATTACTGATAAGAACTCACTTATGCCACTTTGTTGCTTTTGGGGATGGAGGCATTTTGACTTTTTCTCCTTTCCAACTTTCACATGTATCTGAGGCTATTTGTGTAACATTATTTAGATATTTCCTAGTGGTTACCATGAATATTACATTTGACATTTTGCAATTACAACATCCTGTGGTCAGTTGATACCAATTTAAGGTCAGTAACATGCAAGCATTATAATACCTATTCCATTCCTCCTCCTATTCACTTTATTATTCTTATCCCCGATTACATCTTTATATCTTATGTGCCCTAAACCTGTTTCTTTACTCATTTGTCATTACAAAGCATGGAGAGAACACTTATATATCATTTAATCTCTTTCTGGCCTCCAATGTTCTGTAGGGCAAATCAATGCTTAATGTTATTGGGGATCCTTTATATGTGACTGTTTGCTTTTCTCGCCACGGCTTTCTTTCATGATTCTTCATCTGTAATTTTTGAAAGCTGAGTATGATGTGTCCGGGTATAGGTCTCTTTGAGTCTATCCTGCTTGGGGTTGTCTGAGTTTCTTGGATTTGTAGATTCCTATCCTGTCATTATTTCTTCTTTCTGTCTCATTCTTTCTTTTATATTTTGGAATTCCCATGATGTATATATTACGTCTATTGAAACTGTTCCATAATTCCATTAAACTGTGCTCAGCCTTTCAAGCTTTCATTCTTATTGCTCTTCAGCTTCTATAATTTAGAATATCTCATTTAATTTTCTGAATCTTTTCTCTGCCTTATTAAATTTGTTAAACCCTTACATTATGTTTCACACTTCAGTTATTGTCCCTTTCAGTTCAGTATTTCTTTTGTTTTTTTTAGATGCTCATTTTCTTCTTACATTGTTTTATTTCTTTTGGTTCTTTGTCTGTTTTCCCTAAGTCTTTAATTATGTTTAACATTTCTGTATTATATTCTTTCATTCTTTTTGTTATTCAGGCTTCCATAGATATGAGTTCACTCACTTCATCTTACTCATTTGGATGCGGCACTATTGTACTCTCTGCAATATGCTAGGTATAAAGAACCATTTATTAAAAAACTGCCAGTTTTAAGTATTAAAAAATAATATATTTGAGAAGTGAAAAGGGACTAGTAGAACTAGTTTACCTTTTCAACTATTTTTTTGGTTATACATAAATATTATAAATCTGTGGATCAGAAGCGTTAGTGCAGATCTTAGATTTGATATCATTAAATAGATTATATTCTATTAACTGGGTTTAACAGGCTAATAATTTAGACTAGTGCTTCTCAACTGGGGAGACATGAGCAGTGAGGAAGTTAAGAGTGGAGGGATCAGGGCTCAAGTCCCTGCAAAGGATGATCGATAAGCAGCCCAAATCATATGCAAGCCTGGAACTTAGAAGGACCTGGCATCATAGAAGTTCGTGGGCAGATACAAGCAGAACTGGCTGAGGATTTAGAACAGGATTGGCTTACCCCTAGGAGACTTCCCTATAATAACAAGCTAGCAGCTCTCACTGTCTCCCTAGACCCCAGCAGCAGACCAGAGTCAGGAATCAGACTAGCATATCTCCTTAACTATATAATACTGGAAACTAGTAGACAATAAAGTACTGGTGCCAAAACTCTGAAGGTTAATTATTTTCAAACCCGAATTCTAATACTTTATCAAACACTCAACACATGTGAGGATAGAATAAAGACATTTTTGAGTAATTAAAGGCCTCAAAAAATTTACTCAGAAAACAAAAGAAGACATCCAACAGAGAGAGGAGATGAGGTGTTCTAGGAAGCTAACAGCAGAGCCTGATCTGGTTTAAAGTAGAGAGCAGAAAACTCTAGAACATTTCTGAGATAAAAGATAGATTTATTTTTTATATATTCTGCTTGAATATTCCCTTAGTCCTTCACTCTGATGGAACTGTAGCTAATAATATCAAGAATGTGAACAAAATAAGACCAAAAAAGAGAAAATTACAAACCTATAAAAATTTACAAATACTACAAAGTAGGAATTTTGTTATTTTAAGAAAGTGATAGAAATCCCAGTCGATTTTTTTAAAATGGTGAAATGTACAAGTAAATACTTGTGTGGCATTTTAGGGGAACCATGGTTTTCTTTGTTAAAGCAAAAAGTATTAACATTAGGGAAAGCCAAAAACATTAAAAAGCAATATACTATACTGTTTAACTGTGAAATAGTCTTGCTACGTATTAGCAGAAGTCCTGGTATGGTCATACAGAATAAGCACTGGTCGACGAGGTCAGTTTGAACTGAAAGGTTGGTGGTTCAAATTCACCAGCCACTCCTTAGAAACCCTATACAGGGTTGATATGAGTCAGCACCTACTAGATGGCACTAAATAACAACATATTAGCAAGAACAGGGTTTATAACTTAAAAATAAAGAATTAAATAATATTTTAAAGAAGAAAAAAAGATCTTATAATTATGCCTTCAAAGACCAAGGAAAGAATCTTTTGCCTCAGCTAGATACCAAAAAATAATCATAAAGTTAATGGTAGTGGTGTGCCGTAGAGTCAGTTCCAACTCATAGTGAACCTGCAGTATAGGGTTTTGGAGGTTGTAAATCTTCACAGGAGCAGAAAACCTCATCTTTCTCCCGTGGAACTGCTGGTAGTTTCGATCTGCTGACAGTATAATTAGCAGCCCAACTCATAACCACTATGCTACCAAAATTCCTTAAGAGCACATAGTGTGCAACACAAATCAAAACACTCCTTGATATGGCTTTCAAGGACTTCTATAATTGGAGCCTTCCAAAACACATTATAAACCACACAAATCTTTACAGGAGCAGAAAGCCTCATCTTGGCTCCACAAAACCTCTGGTAGTTTCAAAACTGCTGACTGTGAGATCAGCAGCCCAACTTGTAACCACATTCTCCAGCCCTTTTATCGAAATGAAATGTGACCTCAAGGGAAAGAGTGATAAGTTTCCAAAATATATAGAATTAAGATGATCAATTTGTTTCATATGATTAAATGGAAACCTTTACTAGTCAAGCGAGACTGAAGAGATATTTTTTCCCCTTAGAAGGCATATTTGTATTTCATAATGCAAGTCACAAAGCCCAAGAGATAACAATAAAAGGCTTGACCCTCACACTTTACTTTAAGCTCATGCCACTAACTATAAGGTACATGGGTAAAAAGAAAAAGAACAAGGAAGTAAAAATACATAATGTTTAAACCATGCAAGGCAGCTTCAACCTGGCTTTGTGACAATATCAGTGACATCCGCTTTATATACAAAAGGAGAGTCTAACTTCCAATTTTAGAATTAATAATCTAATTTTTCTATATATGCATTTATCCACCTTATCCCATTTATGTACCGATTCTGTGAAATTAAAGAAAAGGACAGTAGAAAAATCTCAGTAAGTATAGAAATATCAAAGCTAAGAGTACACAGGCAATCATGAAGCACGAGAAATCCATAATAAAGACAAGTGATAATCCTCAAAAGGAGACTAGCTTCTAAAGTAATCATCATGTACTATTTAACAGCAATTCCATAGATGTACTATATTATAAAATACAATATTGTTATTTTAGCTTCTGTTTTTGACAGCTCTAATTTAATTTTACAAGTTAGCCCATGGAATTCACCATTGGGTTTACATTTTAACTTACTGATAATATTCTGAATTTTGGGGAATAAGAAGTTCAGGAAAAAGAAAAGTTCTCTTCTTTTGAGTTCACTTTCTTTTATTCATTTTATTTCTTCCTACTACCTTCTATTATGTGAAAGCTGGACAGTGAATATGGAAAGCTATAGAAGAAATTGATGCTTTTGCGTTATGGTGTTGGAGGAGAATACTGAAAATGCCATGGGCTGCCAAAAGAACAAACAGATCTGTGTTGGAAGAAGTGCAGCTAGAGTGCTGCTTGGAGGCCAGGATGGCCAAATTTTGTCTCTCATACTTTGGACATATTGTCAGGAGGGACCAGTCGTTGGAGAAGTATATCATGTTTGGTAAGGTGGAGGAGGTCAGAGAAAAAGAGGAAGACCCCAGCAAGATGGATTGGCAAAGTGGCAGCAGCAATGGGCTCAAGTGTGCCAACAATTGTGAGGTTGGTCCAGGATCGGGCAGTGTCTAGTTCTGTTGCTGTCGCTATGAGTTGGTACCGACTCGATGGCACCTAACAACAACAAACTACCTTCTATGGAGTCTTGCTGTGGTGCTGTAGGATAAAGAACTGAACCAGAAGGATGGTGGTTCAAACTCAACAGCTGCTTCTTGGAAAGCCTACACAGGGTCGCTTTGAGTTGGAACGGATTCAATGGCACTTAACAACAACCACCTTCTATGATTTTCTTCATTTGCTCATTTTAACTGAAGTTATAACTAAAGCCTGGGCTTAATGATAATGAACATAGTACCTTACTTAACCCAGAGGAAAAAAGTCAACACTCCTCATGTGACTTTAATTTATGAAAAACATTGAAAATTACTGTGTTGTTCTTTCTTGGTATTGGTTGGAAAGTTATATATATATATATATATATATATATATATATATATATATATGTGTGTTGTAAAAGTTTAAATCAGAGAACAATTCTGAAAACACTGCCTAATCCAGAAACAAGATTAGGAAATCACTGTTCTGTAGGCTTTCAGTAAATATTTTCTGACTGACTGCCAAAAAGATTCAGGAACTCTAACTTCCTATGAAAATCAAGAACAGCTTTGTTCCACTCATCAGAGGATATTTAGAAATTCATGTTGTTCCTAAATGGCACATTAGATACCATACCTTCAAATCTGATGTCAGAGATCAGGAATGACGCCTCCAGAGGCCTGGGAGAATGGCATTGCCCTGGGGAACACTGTCTCTCTAAAACCATTTAAGGATGAACTGCATCTCGCTCTTTATAAAACAGGACAAAGTAAACAAACTGATTCTCCCTTCCCGGTAATGCTGAGAGGAGAAATGGGAGGCAGAAAAGCTCCTTAGCAGCAGTGGCATTATTTATGCTCATTATCATGCCCAGAAAATGTCCCTTTGTAAGTTTCTTTGGATACTGCTACCTCAATAAATACCTATCTTTCTCCTTCAAATTTTAAGAACAAAGGAGTTAGTGAAGCTGATGCATGTTAACACTACAGTTCCAGGATTGTCAGTAGCTGGGTAATTTTAAGCTAAGTTATGTAACCTATCTGGGTCTTAATCTCCTTATCATGAAAAAGTGGTACTATTCCTGGAATAGCACTGTAGGACCAGCACTGGACTGCGAAACAGAAGGTCGACAGTAAAAATCAACTTGATGGCACTAAGTTTGAAGTGGGTAGGCCACATAAAAATCTACAAAGTCCTCCCCATTGGACTAAATCGCTATGATTTTATCTTGCAAGTTTCAAGCTACCTTACATGCTGGTTTTTCCCTGAAAACTGTTCTTGTTCTGTATTATTAAATTTGTACCTGTTGTAATTTTATACTATTAACATGTGAAGGCCAAATGGCCTTGTAATCCCTACAGTGACTTTGCTCAGCAATTTGTTCTCAGTTGTAACCTAATAAACATTTGGTAAGTATTAGATGAATAGTTACCGGGGGAATTGTTGAACAGCTTACAACAGTGCCTGCAGAAGTAACACTCAGAGTTCTCGTTCTATGTTGATTAGAATCTCCCATACTTTCTTCATCTCTAGAGTCAAAAAAGAAGAAAAAAAGACACACAATAATTTATCTAATCTTTTAAAAAATATAATTTGTTATGCTTGACTAAATTTACATTATTTCTTACATGACAGTGAAACTTAAAGATAAAATACCTCAGAATCAGCAATACATTTAAAATTTCTACAAAGGTTAAAGTAAAATCACCCACAATTCAGCCCAGTATACTAA